CATCAATTTGACATAAATAAGGAAGAATATATGATTTTAAGTTAATACATTGAAGTTATATTAAAAATTTAAGTGATAAAAGTACAAAATTTTAGCATATAAAATTACAAAATTCTATAGGCACAAAATTAGATCATTAATAAAAAATATTAAAAAATATTTAAATTATATGAAGTTTAAAATTTTCAAGAGTATAGCTACATCTCTTCCACCTATCCTCAAATACAAACTATAAGGTGGCGTTTGGTTCGCTATAATGTTTCTGAGGGAATTAGAATCTGTGAAGGAATTGTAATCTGTCAGGAATTGGAATCCAATTCCATATTCTGTTTGGTTCGCAGACATGTCAGATGAATTTGATTTCAATAATGTAAAATGACATAATTGCCCTTCTTGTTTTTTTGCTTTATTTTAGTTTATTTTACAACTTACATGTAGTAATATATTATAAAAAATTAAAAAATATTAAATTTTCATTTTATTGATTGATTATTCATTTCAATAAATTATAAAAATCATGCTAATAAACATCATAAGTTAAAATCATCGCAATCAAAATATGTTAATAAGTTACCAAAAGATAGAACAATATTTCGATACATCCCAATCGGATTATGTTAATTAGTTACCAAAAAATATACCAAAAACTATTTTTATTCAATATATGAATTAGAAACACGACCCGACATGACACGAAATAATAAAAAAATTTATTTTTATTCAATAAAAACATTGACTTAATTGAAAAAATTATATATAGAGGGGTATTATTGTAATTATTCCTAATTATATAATGTAAAATTATATATTTTTCGGGTCAAGTCTGGTTTTTTTCACCCTAAACCCGATCCCGACCCGACCCGAATATCACACTTTAAAAAACCCGACCCGACCCGAATATCACACTTAAAAAACCCGACCCGACCCAAACAAATAAAGTTTCACCCGACCCGACCCCAATATATGAATTAGAAATCTGACCCGACCCGACCCGAAATAAAAAAAAATATTTTTATTCAATAAAACAATGACTTAATTGAAAAAAATTATATATAGAGGGTATAATTGTATATTCCTAAATATATACGGTAAAATTATATATATTTTTGGGTCGGGTATTGTTCACTCTAAACCCAAACTCGACCCGACCCGAATATCATACTTAAAAAAACCGACCCGACCCGACCAAAATAAAGTTTCATCGACCCGACCCGAAATAATAAAAAAATATTTTTATTTAATATATGAATAAGTTACCAAAAGATTGATGAGAGTAGTATGATCAAATTTCAATTCCCTTCAACAAGGGAATTGAATTCCATCCATTCTTGGATGAAGCCATGAGGGATTCCAATTCCTTTGGAAAACTTAAACCAAACATGAGAAAGTAGTGGAATTAGATTCCAATTCCTACCAATTCCAAGGGATTCTAACGAACCAAACGTCACCTAATATGTGACTTATTATTACATTAAGAGAAAATAACCTCAGTGACCAAAAATCTCAGATAATATACGATTTTGACCAACTTTTTTTGGATTTGCGAAAATGACCAACAAAATCGCAATGCGATCTCTAATTCGCATTGCGATCTCCACTATCGCAAATTCGCGTTGCATTTCGCGTTGCGATAGTTGAAAATCGCGTTGCGATTTTCCATTTCGCGTTGCGATTTTCCATTTCGCGTTGCGATTTTCCATTTCGCGTTGCGATAGTCTACAGTCGCGTTGCGATTTTCCATTTCGCGTTGCGATAGTTGAAAATCGCGTTGCGATTTTCCATTTCGTGTTGCGATAGTTGAAAATCGCGTTGCGATTTTCCATTTCGCGTTGCGATAGTCTACAGTCGCGTTGCGATTTTCCGTTTCGCGTTGCGATAGTCTACAGTTGTCCGTTGCGATTTTCCAAATTCGTTGTGATAGTTAAAAAAAAAGATTTTGTTTCTTAAGAATTTTCTCTAAAAAGATAGTATCCGCGCGGACGTGTCGAAGACACGTATGACCACGACCACGACCACGACCACAACCACGAGACGAGACGGCGGCGGCGGCGCGCGAGAGTCCCCCTTGTTCTCTATCACTCAACAAGGAAGTGGGAAAGCCAAGCCTTAAATATCATTCCCAATAGTGTTTCCAATACTATGTGGATTTGAGCATTACCAACACTTGTTCCCAATATATGTGGGATTGAGCCTTAAATAGTGATATATTTTTGAATGTTTTGCTTAAAATTGCAATAATCGCGATTGATTGTAGATTGACTTTTAATTATGACATATTTAATCGTATAATACTAATGTAATTGGTTGTTGATTCAGTTGTTTTAAGGTGCATGATTGTTAATTGTTTCCTGAATAATCACATTGTATTGGAAACAAGTGTTGGTAATGCTCAATCCCACATTGTATTGGAAACACTATTGGGAATGGTATTTAAGGCTTGGCTTTCTCACTTCCTTGTTGAGTGATAGAGAACAAGGGGGACTCTCGCGCACCGCCGCCGCCGTCCGTCTCGTCTCGTCTCGTGGTCGTGGTCGTGGTCGTGGTCGTGGTCGTGGTCGTGGTAATACGTGTCTTTGACACGTCCGCGCGGATACTATCTTTTTAGATAAAATTCTTAAGAAACAAAATCTTTTTTTTTTACTATCACAACGAATTTGGAAAACCGCAACGACAAGTGTAGACTATCGTAACGAATTTGGAAAATCGCAACGACAAGTGTAGACTATCGCAACGCGAAATGGAAAATCGCAACGCGACTGTAGACTATCGCAACGCGAAATGGAAAATCGCAACGCGATTTTCAACTATCGTAACGCGAAATGGAAAATCGCAACGCGAAATGGAAAATCGCAACGCGATTTTCAACTATCGCAACGCGAAATGGAAAATCACAACGCGATTTTCAACTATCGCAACTCGAAATGCAACACGAATTTGCGATGATGGAAATCGCGTTGCGATTTCAACTATCGCAACGCGAAATGGAAAATCGCAACGCGATCTCCATCTATCGCAACGCGAAATGGAAAAACGCAACGCGATTTTCAACTATCGCAATGCGAAATGCAACGTGAATTTGCGATAGTGGAGATCGCAATGCGAATTAGAGATCGCATTGCGATTTTGTTGGTCATTTTCGCAAATCCAAAAAAAGTTGGTCAAAATCGTATTTATCTAAGATTTTTGGCCACTAAGGTTATTTTCTCTTACATTAAACACTGGTTGACTTTTATTATCAAATGATAATTAGTAGATTGGCAGTGTTAGCGGCTATGGCATCATAATGACATGGGGATATTTTACGATTTATTGAAGGAAAAAATGGTGAGTCGCGCAAATGATACAAGTAATTGGTTGAGATGCAACATTATTGAGGGTAAGAAAAATGGATATGGGTTGTCTTTTCTCTTTATCATTTTAACCGTGATGGGATAACCAGTTTCTCATTATTGTTGCCATAATTCAGCAATATGTTTACATTCACAGCACCATAATATATTGTTAATAGTTCATGTTTAATGACTGCGATGTTTCATCCATATTTTACAAATAGTTTAAATATTGTATCTTACCATTACTTTAATATGTATTTATCTATTTTATTATATTTTAGTTTTCTTTTTAGAATAAAAGTTAGGAACTGTTATTCTTATTAGACCATTCATGACGGTGACTATAAACGCGTTAATGAAGTGGAAAGTTGGGGATCTTGGTAAGCTCAATTATGAGATTTTGAGCTACAAAAATCTAAAATTATCTCTCTTTTAAAGAGCATTTGGTTCTTTTAACGTGGAGAATATGGCAGTGATGAGTAAAAGGTGCATATTCTTGCAGCATATGACTTTTTATCAGAAAACTGACGATAACTGTAGCTTGAAACCTGAGATTCCCAGCATCTAGTTTATAGGATATATGCTAATCTGTTTGAGAAAGCATATGAATAATATTTACCCCCAGGACATGTTGAAATATTCAACAGTAATTACACACTAAGAATTATATAGATATCTTAAATTCAAATTGAAATGATCATCAAAATGTCTTTGCCTCTATCCTACTAAACACAAAAATACTGATGTAAAAATGATGATAGAGAGAAATCAAAATCTAAACTTAATATCAATGAGCATAGATCAACCAATTTTGAGAAGAAAAAAAATTATTCAGACAAAAAGATGAAGTACTATTCACCACGCTTCCTTTGAACTTAATAATTTTTAATTTTGATCATAATGATGTTGCAATTGGTTTGAAGTTTTTGGACCCATTTTACTTGATATGCTTGGCTAGAGAAACATCACATGTGAAGAGGAAAGTAGAAGTTGAGATGTCTATATTGTTGTTTTCTTAATCATTTTTGCAACTGGAATTGTTAAGCAATGTTTTCTTTTCTTTTCATCTTTTTTGGCTTGTGAGCTACGTTTGCTCTTTCTATGCCTGGTGGCAGTTGTCGATCTTCGAAGGGCGTCGAGCACCTCAATGATAAATTATTGTTTTTAATGATAATAAAATCTACTCCAATGTCTCTTTCTTAAACAAAAATCAATTAATGAACATTGAAATTGAAGACCTCTTACATAATTTGGCCGAGTTTCATGTTGTTTTAAGTTTTAACCCTTCTTGATAGTAATCTCGAAAGCAGCCAGTAAAACTTTTGTAGAAACAGAAAGATATAATTACATGCGCAGATAAACAATATCATATTACTACAACATGAATTGTGCAAGTTCATAAATTATGGGGGACATACAACGCAATCATGTACGATAATGGAAAAGCACAATCTTCAGCCCCCAACAAAAAAAAGTTGGAAACTGGGAACATGTTAATATTAAAATCTTTTATTGATCAAGACGAACTTAATTTTATGTTAAGGAGGATGCATCATCCAATCCAGACTCCAATGTTTAAATTATAAAATATAAAAAAAAAAATTATAGAAAAATTTACAATTTTCAGAAGATAACTGTTTGATCAAATCTTCAGCCCATCCCTGATCTTGATATTCATGCCCCCAAGACCAACACCAAAGGGCTAAAGCTTAATATAGCCATTGCGAATCATCCAATCCAGGCTCCAATGTTTGTTAATGTTCCTCAGAGTCCAATAAGCCCAACCAAAACTGGCCCGCCCGTATGGTAATGTTCTTTAGTAGCTCCATTAATTTCCAACTCCGCCACCCATTCACCTGAAAAAAAATCATCACTCCTTGCGTTTTAAAACTCACCATTAATGAGTGCATGAGAATCAATCATAGATTCTTACCAACAAATGTGAGAGGTCCATTAGATGTTGTAAGATGATTCAGCTGCGAGGACCGGTTGTGGTATACAAAATCAATGTTCTGTTGGACAGTCAAGTTGTTAAACTTGTCTTCGAAAAGATTGTAATAATGTACATCAATAACGGACCCCTGTAAACCACTTGCCATCGGGAACAGCTCCCTCGGTTTCATCGGTCCCAACCGATTCGACATCACGACAAAAGCAGTCGATGTTTGCCTACGTACGGCCGCGTAAACGGCTTTGTAGTATTTGATCACGCTTGACAGTGTTGCTCCCGGCGAGAGGGGCTCGTTAATGAGTTCCACTGCATATAGGCTAGGGCTCTTTGCATATCTGTTCGAGGACAAGAAGGAATTATATGAAGTTAGAGGCTTAGAGCTGATAATATTACGGACCCATTATTATGTTTGAGCTTGAATAAAAGAGAATGGATTGCTTTGTTTTTGTTACCTGGCTGCTAAGAATTCTATAACAGTTACTGTTTGGCTTATGGTTTCATCTGTTTTGCCCCATTCCTGGGAGCCATCTCTGGAGCCGCTGTGCTCCCAGCCATTTTGTGAACCAGGTGCAGCATGTAGATCAATTATAACTTTTAATCCATATTTCCTGGAAATTTAAAAGCGTCAATTTTGAATATCTTAATTATAAGTTTCGGTTGTTTGTAGGGGGGGGGGGGAACGTACTCTGCCCATACGAAGGCATTGTCTAATGATTCCAAGGAACCGCCAACAAACGGCGGAGGTGGCGTCGGATCACTGGCTATCCACCAGCCAACCGGTATTCTCACGGCGTTAAGTCCATTTTGTGATATGAATTCGAAATCTTTTTCCTCAATAAATGTGTTCCAGTGCTCCTAAGAACGATATATAAACATACATGAATACACCACTAAAAATAATCTCTTAATCTTTAAATCGATATTAATTAGCCATACTCAAATTCATTAAATATTATAATAGTTTCAACTAAAATAATGCTCAATCAACATAAAATATTAAAATTTATATTAATACAAATTATAAAGATACCAATAATTATATAATATCAAATATGTTAAATACAATGTATTATAACATTAACATATTGATTAATATTTGTTGTCTAGCAACTTTATAGCCTGCCCAAACTGGTTCATCCTATACTTTTTGGGATCATCAAGTCAACAGTCAACGTCGGCAATTTAATATCAAAGGCAAATTGCTAATTATTAATTGTAAAATATTTTATAATGGTTTTCACATTAGATGAACGTTTCTTATACTCTTTAGCATACTCTTGCTTTTCCTCATAACGACAAATGATTGATTATAAATAAGATGATATCTTGAGGTTGACATTATTAACTTGGTAATATCTCACTGTTCCATTAAACGTTATTAATATGCAATTAAATACATTTTATAATGGAACAAAAAATTAATAAGAATGTATAAGTAATTAATCTTTGTACGGCATGTAAATACGTACCCTCATGACTTGTGCGGCACTTTCAGGGCCATAGCCATTGGTAACTTGAAACTCGCCCTCCAACCTTCCGGTCATCTTCATCACAAACACTGACGGATCATCATCTCCCCAACCTTTGCTCCCTCGCGAATCGGCCGTCACCTGCTCTTCTGTTTTCGCCTGCAATTTACATCTTTTTATCCAAAGGACATAGGCAATATACAGGGCCGTGGCTGGGGCGACGCAAACTGCGCGACCGCGTAGGGCCTCCAAAAAATGCCCCAAAAAAGTATTATATAGTGACGTTTTTTCAATAAATGTCACTATAGATGGACCTATTGTGATGTTTTTTCAAAAAAACGCCACTATTATTGCGGCTTATTGATAAAACACCATTATAGATAGATCTATCGCGGCGTTTGTTAAGAAAACGCCACGAATATATCTAAAAAATAGGGACCCCTTTTTAAGAATTTGTACATGGCCCTCGAAAACCCTGCCACGTCCTTGGCTATATAGACACCATTATTTGTGGACCAAACAAGCTTTAACAGAGATTTGCTAGTTTCATTTACCTGCAAGTAGTACCCATTCGGTGCTTTGATCCGAACCCGGTTCGTATCATCAGCGTCCCGTAAATCTCGAAGGTCTCTGAATTTCCGGGGGATTTTGAGATGGCTACCATGTCGATCTCATTCCCATTGGTGTCCAGTCCAATGAAATGCTTGTCAAATACTCTAAAATTAAAAGCTGTCACCTTGATCCTCCACAACTGTTTCATATCCATGAAAAAAAAGAAGGATATGAACGCAGAGCATAATGAAACAACATTGGTAAAACTTGAGCAGATATAGTCTGTAGCTTCGATTACTTTAAAGGTTTCCCAGCCAGAAGCAACTGTCCGGTTGGCAACTATGATGCTTCCTCCACCTTGCTCGGCGGAAAGATACTTTCCCGTCGTAACTGACTTAAACTGAAGTGCAGTTCCTTCCTGGTGATCATGTAAAAGGAAACAGAGATTTGTAACTTGAGTTGATAATATATTATATCATAGAGGTGATTCTAAAAGAAAGGGTTTAACATCCAGACCAAGAAATCTTTGTTGACGATGCCATCAAAAAGAGAAGGTTTAATCCAACCTTCGGTCACCAGCCAACCTCCCAGATTAACTGCTCGAATCCGGAAACTCGGGTCTACCCTTCCCTGACAGGAAGATAAAACCAAAGACATGACACAAATGGTTAACAGATGCCTTGTTGATGATGACACAATCGTTTGATGTTTCTTTTGTTTTCACTTTCATATGTCGGCCTCTAAGATTCAGTTCCTTATATATGTAATTTAAATGGCAGTGGCTGCTGGGAATGGGCGTTGACTTGGAGATGGCTATATATTATAAGGAACGAAAATGTTTGGTGTCTTTGTATCATATGTACAGGTAAAACACACAAGATAACTTAAGAACAATTATCAATGTTAAATTTATCCGTTTCGCCTCTTTTCTAGTTTTGGGATTAGACCAACCTAAAGCAATTTGAAGGCTGATATCCAAGTTTTGGCAGAAAACTAATATTATATATTATCGTAGAAAGAAGGTGGTCAATTCATTATCTTTCAATCATTACCGGAGATGGTGGATGATGATAAGAAAAACTTCGTTTCTAATTGATTTTCCTATATAATATATATACGTCAGACATGACATAACTGGCTTTCATTATTGCGCTTTCCCAAACCCACCATTCTCATGGACCTAACTGAATTATATAATAAGAGTTTGAATAAAGAGAATGTTCGGAAACTTATATTATAACGATTGCATAATGTATTTATATTTGACATAAGCTATAGAACTGACGTTCATTCTTCGTAATGCACCGAAAAACAAGAAACAGCTGTTATCATCATGCTACCCGTTGTTGACCGAGAGTACAGGCAGCAATGTTTACAGGTCCAGAAGCCCACTCCATTTGTAGTTGCTTACATTTCCTAGAGTCCATTTAGATCACCCCAATCGTTGGGTCTCTGCAACTCGCTGGTTATAAAAGCACCAACAAAGTTTCCATTTATTGGCATTATTAAAGCAATTGTCATAAAGATGGTCCAGACGTGACCGCAGCTGAATAAAATGAACGAAAGAGAATCAACAATAACATCAACTATTGTTTCTAATTAATCTGAGTGTCAGCATATTAGATGACTCATGAATCCATCTCAGTCTGATGATTAGTTAATTGCTTCTTTAACTAACTCAACCGTTTGAGGGGTTTGTTAGTTTGTTAAAGATTTGGTTATAGTTAACAGTTGCAAAGAACTCACCAAGTATAAGAAGGGATCGTTCATTGTTCACAGATAGAGTTGTTTTCGTTTCTCAGTTGGTGCTTGCTTATCTTGAATTTTCGGAATGGCCAATGTTATGTTGCACCAAACAGTTGGAACTCTCCAGCTTCTTAGCAGTTCTGGAATTCATTGCCGAGTAGGGAACAATTCAGTGAGGTTTCTTCCCAAAGATCTTAAGGTGAGAATCGAGTTCTCAAAGAGAGGGTCTAATTGTTTTGGAGAGAAGGAATTAGGTGTTACTCAAGCCTCTGTTTTATCTCCCTCTAATGAAGGCACACATGAATCTCTCAAGAAATCAAGTAAGCCAGATTATCGGCATAGTTTCATAGTTAATGAGTGAATATTATAGCAATGCACCATTCATCACTAGTTTGTGACATCTTCCGTGTTTTTAATGAAACTTGTATTCATTTCAGATGAGGTAGCTTTGATACTGATTCGCAATGGGGTGTCTTTATGGAATGAGAAGAACCTATTTACGGGTTGCGTTGACGTGCCTTTAACCGAGAAGGGAGTGGAGTAGGCAATTGAAGCCGGCAAGAGGATCGGCAACATACCTGTTGACATGATATTTACATCAGCGCTAATCATGCACAGATGACTGCTATGCTAGCCTTGACACAGCACCATCGCAAGAAGGTGACTTGAGGAAAAACTTTTATGGTAACTAAAGTTAAGATGCTAGTGGCTGCTTCATGATCCAAGTGTTATATATATATATATATATAAATATAAAAAAACTTCCTTTGGTGACTGATAACCTATGAACATTGTCTTGTTCGCAGGTGCCTATTTTCTGTTGAAAATTGGTGCACATGGCACCGAAAGCATCAAATTGCTTTGTCAAAGGGTAGGCACCGAATATACAATGTCAAAATTAGGTGCAACAATGGTTGAAAATTAAATGGGTAAATTACAAACTTTAGTCCCTAAACTTTAGGATATTTATAAGATTAGTCCTTAAGCTTCAACTACAAATACCCTAACTCATTTAGCTTCAAAACCATCCTAAATCATTCTAGCTTTCTCCCAATACTAGAGAATTTAGAGAGTTTTCTTGAGAGTTGTTTTTTTTATCCAGAGAGAATTGGTATTGTTTTCTCTTTAGATCGAGAGAAGTTGTAATTTCTATTTTCTCATAGTGAATTTCTTCTATTGTTGCCCGTGGTTTTTACCCTATATTATTTAGGGGTTTTTCACGTAAAATTTTGTGTCTTCTTTATCCTCATTTTTATTTTCTCAAATTATCAGTTGCGATTTTACTCTATCTGATAGCCGTCTTCCGTAACAATTAGTATCCAAGCCATATTTGAGTGTGTAATATCTGCTTATTGTCTTTGTGGTTGCCACCAAAAGGTGGATCCTCTAACATAAGAAAGTAAGAAGGTATTACCCATTCTTTGAAGGTTCCAAAGAACTATTCACGATAGTGAAATAGTGGGAGCTATCCGTAATAGAAGCTACGACAATGAAATTTGATATTGAAAAATTCAATAGGAGAAATTTCTCATTGTGGAAATTGAAGATGAAGTTTATCCTGAGGAAAGACGGTTGTCTAGCAGCTATCATTGAAAGACCGGTCGATTTCACAAATGACAATAAATTGATCGAAATTGACGAGAATGTTATGGCAAACTTTCATCTAGCATTAGCAGATGAAGTATTGTCAAGCATCGAGGAGAAGAAGATAGCTAAGGAGATATGGGATCATCTCACCAAATTGTACGAGGCCACATCGTTGCACAATAAAATTTTCCTTAAGAGGAAATTTTACACTCTTTGTATGCCAGAATCTACTTCAGTGACGGATCACTTAAACACACTGAACACTTTATTTTCTCAACTTACATCCTTAAGATGTACAATAGAAGAACAAAAACGGGTTGAACTTCTACTCAAAGTCTACCTGATTCGTATGATCAACTCATCATCAACTTGACCAACAATAATGTCATCAGTCTAGTCTTCGATGACGTTGCAGCTACTGTTCTACAAGAAGAAAATCGGTGCAAGAACAAGAAAGACAGACAAGTAAATCTGCAACAAGCAGAAGCGTTGACAACGATGAGAGGGAGATTAACAGAACGTGACCAAAGTAGCAGTAACAAACATGGTAGATCGAAGTCGAGAAGCAAAAAGAATTTAAAGTGCTACAATTGTGGAAAGAATGGTCACTTGAAGAATGATTGTTGGAGTCTAAATAAAAACTTCAATCCACAAGACAATACCGCAAACATTTCAGATGATGAAGATGTTATATGTTGTGAAGCGTCAACCACAGTGGAAGGCAGAAAAAGATTTGCAGATATATGGCTCATTGATTTGGGAGCATCATATCACATGACCTCAAGAAGAGAATGGTTCTATCATTATGAACATGTCTCATGAGGATCTGTGTATAGTTGCAATGATCATGCCTTAGAGATCGTTGGTGTGGGGACCATCAAATGGAAGATGTATGATGGAACAATTAAAGTTGTTCGAGATGTGCGGCACGCGAAAGGCCTGAAGAAAAATTTATTATCTTACGGATTGTTGGATAATAATGCTAGCAAGATTGAAACATGAAAAGGAATCATAAAGGTGTTCCATGTAGCGCTTGTGGTGATAAAAGGCGAAAAGATAGCTGCAAACTTGTACATGCTGAAGAGGGAGACTTTGATAGAAGCATACGCTTCTGTTACCTCATGTAGTTCAGATTATGCAATGCTATGGCATCAAAAACTTGGACACATTGAAAGTCCTTGTGGAGCAAAAGCTACTTTCAGGCTTAACAAAGGTATCACTTACTTTGTGTGAGCATTGCATAACAAGTAAGCAACACTGGTTGAAATTCAACACGTCAAATTCTAGAGGCAAAAGTGTTCTAGAATTGGTTCATACTGATGTATAGTAAGCACCAGTCACTTACTTTCTTGTATCGTGACTACTCCAGGAGATGTTGGGTGTACCCTATTAAGAAGAAGTCATATGTGTTTTCAACTTTCAAAAACTTCAAAGCGCGGGTAGAACTTGATTCTAGAAATAAGATCAAGTGTTTCAGAACAGATAATGGAAGAGAATACACAAATGAAGAATTTGATGACTTTTGCAAGAAAGAAGACATCAAAAGACAGTTCACAGTGGCAAACACTCCTCAAAAAAATGGAGTGGCAGAACGGATGAACAGAACATTATTAGAAAGAACAAGAGCAATATTGAGGGATGCATGCCTAGAAAAATCATTATGGGCAGAAGCAGTCAATACTGCCTGTTATTTGGTGAATCGAGTTCCATCAACTGCAATAGAGCTGAAGACACCAATGGAGATGTGGACTGGTAAACCAACTGATTATTCAAACCTCCATGTATTTGGAAGTATAATATACGCGATGTACAACTCCCAAGAGCTTTCAAAGCTGGATCCAAAATCCAGGAAATGCAAATTCTTGGGGTATGCTGATGGAGTAAAAGGGTATCGCTTGTGAGTTCCCACTGCCCACAAAGTGATCATCAGCAGAGATGTTATCTTTGTAGAAGATAAGTTATAAAGAAAAAAAGACGATGATAGAGCTGAAAAGTCAGAGACTACACAGATACATGTGGAAAAGGAGGTTGAACAGGGAGTTTCTTCTGAAGCAGAACCAGCACATGATGAACAAGAACCAGAGAATTCTGAAGCTCCAACAACTCGTCAATCAGATCGTGTGAGAATACGTCTCAATTGGTACTCAGATTATGTTATAGAAGAAAAATTTGCGTACTGCCTTTTAACAGAGGATGTTGAGCCATCAACATACCTTGAGGTAATTAATAGCTCAGATGCTTCACTGTGGATGACGGCGATGCAAGAAGAAATTGAAGCCCTTCATAAAAATAATACATGGGACCTTGTGCCACTACCACAAGGAAGGAAGCCAATTAGTAACAAATGAGTCTTTAAAATCAAGCGAAATGGTGATGATCAAGAGGAGAGGTATCGTG